ATTTTCACTTGAACCTTCCATTGGTTCTTGAAAGGCTTCAACTCAGATATAAGGTTCATGGCGGCCATAGAAGATGTGTAGGTTTATTCTTGCTTGTCTGAATATCGAATGGACCTTTANCAGCTGCAGAATACTCTTTCCAAAGGCGGACAATTTTCACTTGAACCTTCCATTGGTTCTTGAAAGGCTTCAACTCAGATATAAGGTTCATGGCGGCCATAGAAGATGTGTAGGTTTATTCTTGCTTGTCTGAATATCGAATGGACCTTTAGAACTCGAGTTATATATGTTTAAATAGCATTTACATTTGCGATTTGCGATTGTCTATCAAGGAAATTCCAATTTATGGCTATATCATTTAATTCAGAATATTATATATAGCTGATTGACATTCAAATGGAAAGAAACCATTAAACCGTTAACCTAATAAAAACATTCCGAGATTTAGTTGCTAAAATTATGTGACTGAAATATATTCATTCAATATTAGAAATATCTATGCAGATTAGGTCATTAATTTTAGTTGACATTCAATATTCGAATACAATAACATCAATGGTTAGTGCATATAAGGGAAACTGAAATACGCATGCAGATTCGGTCATTAATGTTAATTGAATTTGAAGATAATAGTATTTTGTACATCGAATATTGTCGAAATATTTTATAAAGTTCGATTATATAAAATATAAAATATTATATTTAAAATTTAAATATATGCATAATTATGAAATAGAATATTAATTCAGAATATTATATATAGCTGATTGACATTCAAATGGAAAGAAACCATTAAACCGTTTACCTAATAAAAACATTCCGAGATTTAGTTGCTAAAATTATGTGACTGAAATAGAATATATGCCTAATTATGAAATAGAATATTAATTCAGAATATTATATATAGTTGATTGACATTCAAATGGAAAGAAACCATTAAACCGTTTACCTAATAAAAACATTCCGAGATTTAGTTGCTAAAATTATGTGACTGAAATAGAATATATGCCTAATTATGAAATAGAATATTAATTCAGAATATTATATATAGCTTATTGACATTCAAATGGAAAGAAACCATTAAACTGAAATACGCATGCAGATTCGGTCATTAATGTTAATTGAAGTTGGAGATAATAGTATTTTGTACATCGAATATTGTCAAAATATTTTATAAAGTTCGATTTTATAAAATATAAAATATTATATTTAATATTTAAATATATGCCTAATTATGAAATAAGGTCGCATTTTTTTCCTATTTTTATTTATACTTATGTAACGAAATATATTTTGAAGTTGAAGACAATAGTATTTTGTACATCGAATATTGTCCACACATAAAATATAAAGTTCGATTTTATAAAATATAAAATATTATATTTAAAATTTAAATATATGCCTAATTATGAAATAATGTCGCATTTTTTCCTATTTTTATTTATACTTCATGTAACGAAATATATTTTGAAATATATCGTAGGTGATGACAAAATACTTATATCAGGAAATATATCATACTTATGTAACAAAATATATCGTATCGTATATAAGGAAATATATAAGGAAATTTAATTAACTATATGCCGAGTATATGCATGTCTTTATTGTTATATCATATATATCATATATCATATATGTCATATATGTATATTTATATCAATGGCATGATGTGTAATTATTCTAGTTAACTAAGGTCTTTTAGTTAAAAGGTGTGAGAAGGCTTGTGGAGTTGCCACGTAGGAAATGGCATGCATGTAATAAACACATGAAGTAAAGGTTTTTTGCAAAAGTTCTCCTCAAATAATAAGAAGGGATATTTTTTTATTCACAAGCTAACGGTTCATCTATACCTATACCGAGATAACTATTACAGAGATAACAACTATTGGAGAAAAAGACATATCCAGTTTATGTAAGAAAATCATCTTCCCAAAAAACCACCATTGCGCCTCTACACACAATCAGACCACCACCCCCTCCTCCTCCACGACCACCACCACTCCTCCACTCAAAATCAATGACATCCTTACCAGTCCGAGCACCGTCTTTAGTCTCTTCCCGAAGAATCTTCGAAGAGAAACTCCACGAACTTCCCAGATGCTCCAACCTAACCCAAGTAAAACAACTCCACGCCCAAATCATCCGACGAAACCTTCACCAAGACCTAACCATCACCCCGAAGCTAATCTCCGCCCTCTCTCTCTGCCGTCAATTAACTCTAGCCGTTAGGGTTTTCAACCAAATCCAACAACCCAACACCCATCTCTGCAATTCGTTGATTAGGGCACACGCTATCAACTCTCAGCCCCACAAAGCTTTCACCTTTTTCTTCGAGATGCAAAGATTCGGCCTTTACGCGGACAATTTCACTTACCCTTTTCTCCTAAAGGCCTGTTCTGGTCAGTCTTGGTTCCCTGTGGTGAAGATGATACATACCCATATAGAAAAATTAGGGCTTTGGTCTGATATCTATGTGCCCAATGCTCTGATTGATTGTTATTCGAGGTGCGGTGGTTTGGGTGTTAAGGCGGCGATGAAGCTGTTTGTGAAGATGGGGGAGAGGGATACTGTCACTTGGAACTCTATGCTTAGTGGGCTTGTGAAGGCGGGGGAGTTGAGAGATGCGCGGAAGTTGTTCGATGAAATGCCTCAGAGGGATTTGATTAGTTGGAATACGATGTTGGATGGGTACGCGAGGTGTAGAGAGATGAGTGAAGCGTTTGAGTTGTTTAAGGTGATGCCTGAGAGGAGTACTGTGTCGTGGTCGACGTTGGTGATGGGGTATAGTAAGGCTGGAGATATGGAGATGGCGAGGGTTATGTTTGATAAGATGCCGGTTAAGAATGTGGTTACGTGGACTATAATTATTGCTGGGTATGCGGAGAAGGGGCTTGTGAAGGAGGCTGATGAATTAGTTGATGAGATGGTGAGTGTAGGATTGAGATTTGATGCTGCGGCTGCTATTAGTATATTGGCTGCTTGTGCTGAGTCTGGTTTGCTTAGTTTAGGGATGAGGGTTCATTCCATGGTTAGAAGGTGTAACCTCAGTTCCAATGCTCATGTGTTGAATGCGTTACTTGATATGTATGCAAAGTGTGGGAGTTTAGAAAAAGCGTTTGATGTGTTTAAAAACATGCCTAAGAAGGACCTTGTGTCTTGGAACACTATGCTCCAAGGTCTCGGTGTTCATGGCCACGGAAAGGAAGCGCTTGAGCTTTTTTCGAGGATGAGAAAGGAAGGGATTCGCCCCGATAAAGTCACGTTCATAGCTGTTTTGTGTTCCTGTAATCACGCTGGTCTCGTAGATGAAGGCATAGATTACTTCTACTCAATGGAGAAAGTTTATGGACTTGTTCCAGAAATTGAACACTATGGTTGTCTTGTTGACCTATTAGGTAGAGGTGGGAGGTTAAAGGAAGCTATTAACGTTGTCCAAACAATGCCTATGGAACCAAATGTTGTGATTTTCGGTGCTCTTCTTGGAGCGTGCAGGATGCATAACGAGGTTGATATTGCTAAGGAAGTCCTGGATCATCTGGTTAGATTAGACCCTTCTGATCCAGGAAACTACTCGCTGCTGTCAAATATTTACGCAGCAGCAGAAGATTGGAAAGGTGTTGCTAACATAAGGTCAAAGATGAAGAGTATGGGAGTAGAGAAACCATCTGGAGCTAGCTTGATTCATTTGGAAGATGGGATACATGAATTCACAGTGTTTGACAAATCACACCCAGATTCTGATCAAATATACCAGATGCTTGGTAGTCTAATCGAACCTCCAGATACTGGTGAGCTGGTTGCTGCTGGATAATCTGTGCTTAGTATATTGTTTGTGATACAAGAATTTGGTCAAAGCTTCATTGTCAAGCTCGTTCTTAAGGCCATATATTTGTAGTTCATTTTCCAAAAGAACACAAAGATGGTTCGAGTAATGTATATACATCATGATTTATTAATAATCTTGAGATGGATTTGATTTTGCAATACTAACTTACAACTCCAGAGATGGAGGCTCTGTGTCCTAGTCCCACAACAGGTTCTTGTGATCAGCCAAGAAGATGGCTATAACAATAGACGTCCAAACTCCCACGGAACCTCACTGTGAGTATTAGTAACTTCATGGAAAAGGTTAAACGAAACTTATGGTTAGATGATGCGTAGAACTTGAATTGTTAAAGGCTAATGACAATTCCACTGACGATGATTATGGACGTCAGTAACGATGACGTATTGGTTGGTGATGTTATTACCTTTGCACGCAACTAAGTAGTTTATCCTTTCATCCATTGTAACTTTCTGAAAAAAAGATTAAACAAAACTCATGGTTAGGTGTTCCCTAGATCCTGAACAGGTAACAGCCAATGACAATTCAACTGCTGATCGTTATTGTATGACGTCGATAAGATGACGTTTTCCGGTATATGTTATCTATAGACAAGCTATGTAGTTGTTGGAATTTTTTTTTAAATAGTCAAATTTGAGCAAACCCGCTAGGTTTATTTTATTACAACAATCAATGTCTAAATGATTTTTGAGTTGATCTCGATCTGATTTACATTGAAAATAGTAAATACAATAATGGAGGAAACAGGACCACTGATAGTGCCACCTTATTGATTTTGTACTCCAATTCGCTATTGTTTATGTGGTAGAAGACTGACTTTGGATCTACAAACAAAAAGTCTTTAGACTTATAAGATTATTACTTTTTCACTTCTGCAAACACATTTTATGATTGATCCAAGGTTTTGACATATAAAAATGACCTTTCTAGATGTTTTAGTTCATTAATCTTGTAGTAGGTTGGGTACAATAATTGAATGTCTTTTTATCCTTTCCACAGAAGTGGGTAAGTAACTGCAATGATGAGTGGCCACCTGCCCTACACATCATATTTTTTTTTTTGCAAAAAAGAAGTTGATAAAAGATTTTGTTTCTTATCCAATATCCAAAAGAATATGCAAATGTAGACCTTTAAATACAGCACCATCTTAAACGTTAAAGCATATCCATTGCCCATACCTCTGACTAGGATCCTCGGAACCAAACACTTCAGCTTTGGTTCTCATCTGTTCACTATCTTATATTGTAGATGTACTTTATGTTCTGTCTTCTATTCAGAGAACTAAAGTGAATTGACTCAGAGAAGAAAGAGAAAGAGAGAGAGTAAACATGGATGCTTGTTTTCTTACCTCAAGATCAATCTCTGGTGTCAAAGAGCTTGTCCCGTTCATCAAAGCCAGAATCATTTCTTGCCCCAAGAGAAGTTCTTGCCAGTTTCTCACCAGGAAGCTTGCTTCTCCCATCTCTGTAAATTGTAAGTAATATACTTTTCATGGTCATGTATTGTATTATTCACAAGCATGGCCTATCAGATACCTGTCTGAGAAGTAAATAATTTGTAGCTGTTTCAAGTCTGACGAGAGCATTTTGGTTGAATAGGTTCTCTTTCGGATTCATGGAAGCCACTGGACGATGATTGTGTCAACAATTCAACAGCAGATGCTGACTGGAGAGAGTTCAGGGCAAGACTCGTAGCTGGAGAGCAAGGTGCAACCTCTGAGAAGGACTCTTCCTCATGGTCTAACCCTGACATGGTGGTTGACTGTCCGTCATCATCGTCCACACTGATCACAGTTGGCACCAAATGGGCACACAAGATCCACGAGCCAGAGCCAGGGTGTCTCCTAATCGCCACAGAGAAGCTAGACGGAGTCCACATCTTCGAAAAGACAGTGATCCTCATCCTCTCTGTTGGACCCTCGGGTCCTATAGGAGTCATCCTCAACCGTCCATCGCTTATGTCCATCAAGGAGACTAAATCAACGGTCTTAGACGTGACGGGAACGTTTTCAGACAAGAGACTCTTCTTTGGTGGACCTTTGGAAGAAGGGTTGTTCCTGGTGAGTCCGAGGAGTGGCGGGGACAACGAGGTTGCGAAGAGCGGAGTGTTCAAACAAGTGATGAGAGGATTGTACTATGGGACGAGAGAGAGTGTGGGATTGGCTGCAGAGATGGTGAAGAGGAAGTTGGTGGGAAGAAGTGAGCTAAGATTCTTTGATGGGTATTGTGGTTGGGAAAAGGAGCAGTTAAAGGCAGAGATCTTGGGAGGGTACTGGACTGTTGCTGCTTGTAGCTCGAGTGTTCTTGAGCTTGGTTCTGCTGTTCAGAGTCATGGTCTTTGGGATGAGGTTCTTGGACTCATTGGTCCTCAAACTGGCTCTGTTATCTAAAATTCTGGTCTCTGTAATAGTTTGTATTTACTAATGGTTTATATCAGAGTCATTACTATGTTGTGTATGTTTATCAATGTATGTATTCAGGATTCATCACTAATTAATGAGTATGAATGTTTCTACTTTCTATAGCATGAGTTACATTTGAAAAGAACTTAATATAGAATGACTTTAATACATAGCATGAGTTACTTTTGAACAACTTTATTGTTCTTTCATCCGTTGGCTATGTAAATGTTTAATACTAGTTGTTTCTCATGTCTCACTCTATATATATAGTCCAAACTTGTGACATATCATATACAATCCATCCAAGAATCTTAAAAGAAGTAGAGATACAAACTTTATATAGTCAAAGAGAGAGGATGGAACACACATCAAGAGCAGTAGTCTTAGCTTTAGCTCTATGCCTTGCGGTTCTGATCACTCCAGGAGCGGCTCATGACCAACCACCACGATCAGAATCTCCACCGAGCTATCCTATGGACATAGAGAAATGTTGGTCATCTCTCTTTAACGTCCATGGATGTGTACTCGAACTCTTCCAGTCTGTTTTCTCAGGCAAGTTTGGACAAGTTGGAACCGCATGTTGCAAGGCGTTTTCGACCATAGATGCTAACTGTTGGCCTCACATGTTCCCGTTGAACCCCTTCTTCCCACCTCTTATCAAAGACAACTGTGCTCACATAATTCCAAACTTACCCAAAGCATAAAGTTAAAAGTGAGAGTGGAGTGTGGGACCATTTGCTTAGCTTAGAAAGATAAATAGTCACTCTTCTATTCATTGTTCCAAGTCTTATTAATATATATCATATCTAATAAAAAGGAATTTCTTGCCAAGTTCATAGACATTGTTGTTGCCTTTGGTTACACACAAAGGTTTGGCAATTTAAGGTTGTTGAGTAGTCTTTGAAATAATTTGGTCTATATTATATTTCAGAAATTTCATGGAAAACATATAAAAAATCAATAAAATCATTTTTAAAATAATAATATACAAGGTCTAGTTTTCATATCATGCAATTTCTTATAAATTATATAATATACAGTATATTAGAAGTTTCAGAGAAAACACATGATGTGGTCATATACAAAAAAATACATATTCATCTAAATTGTCATACATGTAAAACCGTCTATTAATCCAGGTATTATAGGTATTATGAGAGAAATAGATTGTCAAAATGTTGTCTGTGAAATTATTTATCAATTATCTGCATATGTTACATGTAAAAGGAAAATTTAGGAGTTAATTGGCTTAAAACTCAAAGAAATTGATAAAATTAGCAAACTATCTTTGATGGAACAAGTTAGGTGAATATGAACAAATGTACTAAGATGTGAAATTTAGGATATGTAGTTAATTATAAGGTTTTGTATGTGTATAGAGTGCAAATACACAAAATTTAGATCCAAAAGTAAAAATTATGTGATGATACATATAAGATTTTATAGAAAAAAAATGAAAATAATTGGTCTTCAAAGCATTAAAAATATCTTTTGATGGAAACGGTGTCGTTTTCCCGAAAGGCACTGAGCATCTTCTTCTTCAACGTGCGAAACAAAAAGGCTCACTTTGCGAATCCCAGAGAGAGAAATCTTGAATCTTTCGCGGCTCAGAATCTCCTAGAAGAGTATCGGTACGATCTTTATCTATGTCAGTATTCACTGATCGCCCTCCTTTCAATTATATAATCTTTGCGACCTAATCCTTGTTCGGTTCGATAATCATATCATATTTGGGTTCTTGCGTATTGAATGTTTTAAGGCTGTTGAATCTCATTAGATGAAGAAAGGATCAAACTTTAGATCTAACACTAACAGTTTTTAGCATAAAAATTGGATCTTTGTATAAAATATTGCTCTTTATTTTTTCTAACAAATGTTTATGCATTAATATTGTTTCAGTATACATTTTTGGAGTCATGAAGGTCAGAGTTGGGTACTAGCAGAATCAGTTATCAATCCCTGAGACTTTACAATGTGGAACCTAGCGTCAAGTTATCTAACCGGACCGAGACACGAAGCAAGAAGACCACCACTACCACACCATGCTCATCTTGACTGTTCAGACGACGATGCTTCATCTGTAGGCAGCAAAGAAGAAGGTCTTGAGTGTCCTATCTGCTGGGAGTCTTTCAACATCGTCGAAAACGTACCTTATGTACTATGGTGTGGCCACACAATGTGCAAAAACTGTATTTTGGGACTTCAATGGGCTATTGTGAAACTACCTACACACCCTGTTCAGCTCCCTCTCTTCATTTCATGCCCTTGGTGTAACCTCTTGTCTTTCCGTCTTGTCTTTAGAGGAACTCTTAGGTTTCCTCGTAAGAACTACTTTGTGCTTTGGATGGTTGAGAGGATGAATGGGGAGAGACGCAATTCGCCGGGGAGAGATCAGACCGATGGTAGGGAGCAGCCACCTCCGTGTCTTCATCATCGTCGTCATGGGACTCAAGTTGAACCATCAGGCTCTGTTAATGATCATCGTCGCGTTCAGAGGGATAACTTACAGACTTCACTGAGGAAGTCTTTGGTGTTCTTTGTTCAGTTGACTGCAAAGTTCCCTTTGGTTGTTATATTTCTGCTGATTATACTCTATGCAATACCGACCAGTGCAGCTATATTGGCTATGTACATTTTAGTCACTCTCTTGCTGGCTTTGCCGTCGTTTCTCATCCTCTACTTTGCTTATCCTTGTCTTGACTGGCTCGTCAGGGAGATTGTCACATGAAAGTGGTTTCTATTTATTCGACGACTTTTCTTTAAACATTTTAGTCTATGTAAGTATATGATGATTTCGTAATTACCGTCTTTCTTATCTATATATGTAGATGTAGTTTTTTTGGTTTGTATTGTTGCTATATGGAAGCTGGAGAAAAGGACATGTCCATGTGTTGTAAGGTCTGTTCGTGTAGGAGTTTAATAGTATTGTAATACTTGAGGATCCGCCTTCTGATTGCTTTGCTTGAGGTTTGTCTCAATAAGATTTGATGTTTATAAAATCTTGTCAAAACCCAAATACTTAGTCATTAGACTAGAGCAAGATTCTTCTACTTCACTCATCTTCTTCCGTCTTAGTTTTCTTCTTTCTCTTCTTTGTTGTCTTCCTCTAGAGAAGTATCAGCCATCGGTTCATCTGAAAGAAGCCAATGAGTATTGAGAACACACACACACATCGAACAAATCAAACCCCAAGCATAGTTCACAAATAGACCAAGAACACAGAGTATATATGTAGTAGCTTCTTCTCAAGACTTTCCAAAACCTCTTTCTCACCACATCAACATGGCTCCTTTCTCATAAAGGTCAAGCCTCTACTTGTCTATCCAACAATGTTGTGAGATATTAACACCTACAACTCCTTTGTCACAAGTGATCTGACATATCTCATCAAGGCCGTGCACCTAGATGGAGGATGATGATTCGTAAAGAACATACATTGCCATTGAATTGTAGTGAGAGGAACCTTAAACCCTAGCTCTTTTTTTTTATATAGAAAGACTATTTATGAGTTTAGTATTAGTAAAACGTATATAACATACTAAAACCGATGATAGGTTTGAAAAATTCTCACTTCTGAGAGTCCATTATTAGTGAACCGTAAGAGCCACGAAACTGTTTACTATTATTTGGAGCTTGATCCACTAAACTCTCAATGGTCATCGGACAAATGATTCTAAAAATAGAACACTCAATCTAACTATAAAAACAGACAAAGAACTCTATTACTAATCATTCTTCAAACTTAATCCTTCACTTTATACCAAAACAAAACAAAAAAAAATACAAAACATAAAACATCAAAAAACATAAAATAATGGCAAGAGTTCAGTTATTATTATGTTTCACCTTCCTCTTTGCATCAGTGACCTTTATGGAACATGTTTCAAGTGCCACCAACTCTGGCTCAGCTACAAACACCACCACCTCTGGCTCAACTACAAATACCACCACCTCTACCTCAACCATAACAGTGGCAGAACTGGAGGCTGAGACATCCAAAGAAGTCATGGAGTTCATAATGAAGCTCGAGAAGAAGTGTCCACCAAAGGAGGAATACAAGTCTTTCTTTGAGAAACTAAAGGGTACCATGGTAGCCTCCGCAAAGGTTACCCTCGAAAAGAAGAAAGGTTTCTTCTCTGCTGCTGCTGGAAAAGTATCTGATGCAATGTCTTTCATTGGTTCAAGAATTACTGGCAAGTCACCAGAGGTAAACGTAACAAAGACACTCTCTTATGTATCCAAGCCTATCATCATCTTCATGTTCTTGTGGTGGCATGTCTATATAGGTCAAAAAATCAATGGATGACTACCATAAAGAGGTGGCCAAGGCACTGCAACAGTTAGAAGCCATCCACAAGAAGATCATTGAGGCAAACCAAGGGAAGACAGACGATTCGGTGAAAGTAACAGCAGAACAAAAAACAGAGATTAAAGAAACAATCACCAAATGGGAAAAAGTGACAACTCAATTCGTGGAGACTGCTATCCAGACAGAGGCTGCTTCAAATACTACAGTTGGTATAGACAAAGTCAAGCTAAATTGAGCTCTCAGAGGCGTTATCTACTACATTCATTTGCTAATAAACCATATTATATTAATCAAGGCTAGCTAATAATTTAGAGAGATTTTTGTATTGGTTGAAATAAAACCAAGATTGGTATAGGCCAATCATAGATCTATTGATCGATCTATTTAAGTAATAACATCCTTAAAGTAAAAAATAGACTGTAACCTCTCTGATGTAAACATTCAGAAGTGAGTGATTCCTAAGTACAAGTATTTTTAAAACAAGCTCAGATACCATAATAACATGAGAACATTACACTAGCAAAACCTAATTGTGCTCTAAGATATGAAACAAAGGAAAGAGTTAAAATCTGTCTTAGTTTGTGTGTTCATCTTCCACTGCAGAAAAATCAAGCCCAGAGATCTTCATTGGTCCAATGTTAACTGCAAGAATCACAAATCATTATCAGATTGTGTGGATCCGACAAAGCAAAGAAACTATAATGTAATGAGATGGTGAAAGAAGATATATACGTACTAACAGCATCAAGTCCAGCTAATTTGGGCATGAACTGTCTGATATGGTCCTCTGCTGCTTTATCTGCCTTCAGTGTCTCACACTCGAAAGAAACAGATACTTTCTTCTTCCCGTGTTTTTGTTCGACTAATCCTATCACATCTTCCTCCCAGCTTTTCAAAGACATATTCATTAAGCACAGGACAGTAACAGACTCACATAGAATGAGACTTATATACAGACGTTTTTGGCTTTGTTATTGCCTTGGACTGGGAGATGCAAGACAAGGACGAGACTTACCCGTGAGCATGCTGGACATCATTAATTCGAGCAGCATCGTGACCTTTGCACTCTACTACAACTGTTTGTTCCTTTTTACTCTTTTTTTCCATGAAATGTCACAGGAAGCAAATCAGGAACAAGTTCAATAAAAACTGTTTTAAAATTTAAGGGTTAGAAGTAATAATAAAGTCATACATTGTAGTCAATGATGGTGAGCTTGATCAAGCGATAATCCTCACCGCGGCTGCACTCAGTCTCACAAGCCAGTTCTTTGGAAACAGAAAGAAGATATCAATCATACAAAATAACGCAGAACAATTCAACAGTATCAAAGGATCTAGTTAGAATCTAGTGCATGATATCCTAGTTTGCTTAAACTAATTGTTAACAGACTCATTTACATGTTTCAGGACCAAACATCCCCATCGAAGATTAGCTAAATAAATATGGACAAGAACACATTATATATTTGCACAATTGACCCATCAAACAAAAAAGATCATTTTGTTCCGTTTGCATAGCAGAAAAGAGGGAAAGTGAGAGAATACCAGTGCCATGGAGGCCATAACAGAGGGAGAAAGGCATGTGAATGAAATGGCCAGAGATGGAACCACATGGCAATAAAGCTATTGAAGCTACTCCTTCCTTCACTTCTCCTTCTCTTTCCTCATCTGCAATCACACCTCTTCACGAAATCAAAGAACACAAGCAAACACTTTCTGAAACAATGTCGATATAAAGTCAGAACCTTTACCCATCGTTGATAGAGATTCTGACTCTAAATTTAGTTCAAAACGTCGTTTCTCTTCTAGCTGTGTTCTGTTTTTTTTTTTTTTTTTTTTTTTTTTTT